ATATACGTTTAACATGACAGCAAATGTACAACGTTTCGACAAGGTTTTGTCATCATCAGGTACAAGTGTCTCTCTCTCCCTGTCTCTGGAGTGGTGGTTTTCTCGGGATCAATCTTCTACAGTCAAGCCCTGGTTCACCACCACACATATTGTCTTTGATAGGCCCAAAAATTATCATCATCATCATTTGATAAGACAGACAATTAAATAATGGATAGTTGGCTGCCACCCACAAAGCTTTTTCTTGCAGACTACGTTCATTCCCAGCGGGTTGTGCTGATGTCTTCCAGTCTGTTAGGCAGTTTATTGTAGTGCTCTTATGAGCACAAAATAATCTCAGAAAGTTTACAAGATTTGTGGATCCATCAACAAGTTAGGATTGAAAACTTTAAGTCAACTGAATCTGTGTTTGGTCAGAAGTTCGGTCAGTAAAGTAAGTTTGTAACATTGTGACCAATTAGGCTATGACCTGATTTTTTTAAAGGAAAATGTCACCTGAATTCGAATATAGTGCACGTGTCCTGTCTTACGTCATTCATGATTAATGTACCCAACACTGTGATGTCAGAATACGTTTGTTACAAGCACTAGCGGATGTGCAATCCACATAGCTCAATACTGTTTTGATGTAGCATTTTTTGAAATATGTCTGCCTTACCCATTTTTATCATATTATTCTGATGATTAGCAGCAAACTTAAGATTTAAAAACATCAGGCATATTTCTAGTAGACGTATAATAACTTGGGTCAGTTGGTAAGTTAGACAAGTATTTTACAAACGACCTTTAATTATAGTAAATACTAGATAAAGTATTTGGTTTTCAATAACATAGATCACACAATTAATACAGTTAAATCCCACTCAATAACATGACTGAAGAAAAGAATATTGACATAGTGGTAGGTAAGTCACTCAAAGCATTAAAGCACTGCTCTCTTACTTCTAATAAACATAATAGAATTTTAGGATGCCTGTTGGCTACAAGCCAAAAGAGGTAATTATCTTTTTGTACTGTTGCGTCAGCGAGGTCACGTGACTAGTGTCACGCCACTCGTTCTCTCGAACCTTCGTG